GTAAATGATCAAGGAAACAGTTCCAGAATGAGTATTACCTATGTGTAGGTTTTCACGATCGGTGTCCAATAAATCAATATAAGTTTTTAGGTTTTTAAACATACAGTTTGTGTATCGTCTTGTGGTAGATCACTTCGACTAGTTCCGCATCGCCTCTGATAATGTCTGTCGTACACATATTCGCCTAAAAACCAACAGACGACTAACAAGAAACCCGAAAACGAAGAATAATAAGTTCCAGGTTCTTCAGTTCCCAAAAATTTTCAAGGGACTACTTTCCACATTTCAAACAATAGTCTCATTCCCAACTGCTCTACATGTGTGGAAGCTATTTTCAGGAGCTTTTCTTTCTTATTAACCAAACGCGTAGTGTATTCCTAGAGTACGAGTACATCATAAACAAATCGCGCTTTGAGAACTATAGAAAACAAACAGTAACGAAAAAAACTATACTTTGTGAGCACAGTTCCATTCAGAGTTAATATTAAAGTAAATGTGACAACAATGAGCTTATTTCTGCTTTCCCAACATGTATTCATATTTCTTTGAAAATGTGCCGTTGGGTACGAAAAATGTCAGTATATTACAAAAAAGATATCCAACAGTTGGAAAACTGTTTGATCATTAGTTTTCATTATTACCGTCAATCAAAATTGTTCGCTTGTTTGTATTATGAAACAGTAATCATAGATGAATAAATACGGGAATATTAAAATTTGAAATGTAATCTGCAAAACAACTCTTGGAACTTCGGAGTGAATGCGAGTGAAATTTTTGTTTTATTTGAGGTCAAAGATTTAAAAAACCTTACTGCCAATACTCCTAGTACGATGCAACGCTTTTCTGAGAATAATTGTAGAAAACAATTCATAATATAGGTAACGTAATGATATATATTTTTGTAATTACCAGAGTGCAATACTCTGTATTCAAAAAAATATATACAGTGCGGACTTAAATAGCCCCACCCTCTCCTACATGAAATATCAAGGTCAGACAAAACTATCGTGGAAAAGTATCAGTATTTGAACTCTTCGAATAAAACTACAATAGTATTGCATCACTCGTCGCTGAAAAAACATTATCAGTTATTTTCCCAAATTGATGAAAAGAGTTTTGTGATACTCGTTCGATAGATATTTCAATTCTCCAATCAACATTTTTTTTAATTCTAAAAATCGGATGAACCTCTCGCTAGTATTTAGCCATTTTATGTTCACTTGAAAAATCTGCAAACGAACGATAAATATCATATATGCAAGAAAAGATGTATCCAAAGCCCACTTCTGTCCATTCCAAAGAATGTTTATAATGTTCATCATTCACTTTCTGGTAATCATGAATGATATTCATTCACCATTTTATTCACTATCATAAGGAATTTCATGGGGTAATTTCGTTAGGAGTAACTCTCATTCTAACCAACAGCTCTGAGAACAAAGTCTAGCCACCTTTGTACCAGCTCGAAACGTAACAGGCAGACCTGTAGACAGGCAGCTGAGTTATCTCTTCATATGACGAGCTGGTTTGAAAGTGGCTAGATGAGAATTATGACCATTGGATCAGAGTGAATCACTGCATAACCTGAAATGATACCCATCAATTTTCGTGGTTGATGGTGAAACCTGAAGTTCACTTCACACAACAGCAGTCTACTTCACAGCTCATTAGATCTGATTAAGAAGTGCTTCTTCGAATCTGTCCCAGAAATATTACATAACGATTCTGTAAAAAAAACTTCATTATACTAAAGGAGTGAATGATGACTAATTCAACCAGTTATTGAAATGAACTGAAGTGAGTTCGAATTACATTCATTTTTGAAATCATGATATTTCTCTATACATATTTATCGTTTGTTCATGATCCAATTAGAAAAACAATGATTCCGAATTGAAATAAATATCAAACGAGTTTTTACCAGACCCCTTTCCTATTTGAAAAACTTCTCGGTGTCGAGTGACGCAAATAATACAAAATGTGATAATTGTTCAAGTGAATTTTGTCCGACTTTGATATCTTGTTCCATTCAATAGTTTAGAAGGGGAGGACTTTTTATGTCCCCACACTAGTACAGACTGCGTAAGGTTGGAGCAGGTATTGCAGTTGGAAACAAGACAAAATAGAACTTTTTTTCTGTTCAAACTTTCGATACTTCAGAAACTCTATAGTAGAATGAGATATTACAAAATAACATTTGGAAAAACAATACAAAACAAAACATAATAGCTTAGGTTATTAATATGAAGCCAGCATGAACACTTATGTTTTCTCTGATATAGGTATTATTGAATCAAAAAGATGTTGAAACACTCGTATAATTGAAGCACAAGAAGGAACCGTACATCGTTAAAAAGATGAGAAGGCTCATTCGATCCGGAAACTCAAAAATTGAATGTGTGATACTTTTTTACATGATGAAAAGTATTAACTTTGTTTTTCTCATTGCCATGTCTGACTTTTTACTATAACCTCAAGTTAGTAAATACATTTTTTATCTATTTGTTTTACAATTTTGCTACAATGTTTTTAAATTTCTTGTAGATATCTTGGTAAAGGGAATAAATATTTTCGAAAGCTCGACCATATAACAAAGAGTATTCTTTAAACAACAGCCCAGCACTTTGACTGCATACAGGGCTATTCAAATTGGTTTCTGTACATGAGGATCTCGTAAACGATAAGTGATAGAGTGTCGGTTGAATTATGACAAACTTGCGTATTTCAGAGACCTATTCAATGATGTGAAAAAATCGAATATAGCTCTTCTGATTCTGGAGATATACAGGAAAAACCAAAAAATTCCAAATTCTTTTTTTGCCTATATCTTCTTTATTCGCAGACATATTGAAAATCTGTCCACATTTTGCTATTGGCACTCGATTTCAGAATCAGAATATGTACATGAATCTTTCATACAGGGTGTCATCTGACTTGGGCCACCCCCATCTTTAAATATTTAAATACCGCCTTTATTTTTTGTTGTAGTTTTTGTATCGTCTACATCTAGTGAACGTCTACGATCCAAAAACTACAACAAAAAATGCAGGTCCGTATTTAAAAATTAAAAAATGGGGATGGCCCAAGTCAGATGACACCCTATATAAAAGATTCATGGACATATTCTGATTCTAATATATACCAGGTGTTCCAAATTAAGTCGGCACCATTGACAACTCCGTTATCATTGATGCTACAAATTCGAGTGAATGGGTAAACTAATAGCATTTTTATTGGCCTTCCCGATGCCGCGTTTTCAAAATATTTCATATAATGTCATTTTTTAAAATGGAACACCATATATTTTATCATGCATTTCAATTCGTGAAAACATTCTCAACAACAAAGCTCATATCATCTTTCTTCCTGAAGTTGAAAATGTGGTAACAATTCCTCTCATGTAGACCTACGACTTTGAAGGTACGTGAGGCAGATACCCGAGGGATAAACAACAACAAACCCAGCTACTGCCGGGCAGAATGCTGAAGTGAAACCACTAGGCACCTGTGCAACGTCTTCGATTTGGAAGATTCGTAGAAAGTTATTTTCCACCATGAAAAACAGAATATAATTTCTTTTGGTCGATACGACCAACCGATAGACCGTTTTTGGGATATTTGCCCCATCATCAGTACCGGGCATGGTCTCTTCAGAATGGAGTGAAACTGCAGACATGCAGCAGTTTCACAACCTGCTGCATGTCATATGCTGTATGTCTTAATTTCTCTATCTGAAACATAAGAGATTTTGAAATTTGTTCAATGATCCCCCGAATTACCATGTTCAGTTGAAGCACAAAAATTAACATTTTGTCTGCATTTGTTTTTATCGAAAGTAATGCGACTTCTGATGGACCTAGATGTTTTTCCTATAAATGTTCCAGAATAAACCATACTTTATCAGTTTTTTCTTCTTTATTTGAGTTTATATTTCTTATTTATATTGAGTAATTCCAATGAATTCATTATCTCTTACTTGTAACAATGGATGCAATATCCTCCAATGAATATTCTAATCAATATTTTCTTGAGCGCTGAGGTTAACTGAAATGAATAAAGCCCACGCCCAAGCGGCATGTATGCACATTGCTGTTGAACTGTTTGAGTGATATTATTGTTATTATTGTTTTGGTGTTATTCGAAGAAAAAAAAAACAAATACAGCATAGCCAAGTTTTGCACTATGTGTTCAATTCTGCCATTATGGAACTCTGTTTGCACGCTTGGGTTTGCACCCGTTTCTATAGCCTTCATTCCTAACTGGGAGATGTGCTAGGAGTCACGATAAATTCATTCTGATTGAGGTGGGACATTCTTAATTTGAAAACTGTGTTTTTTGCCATCTACGAGAAAATGTACTCAGCAAATCGATATTTCGAAAATACACATACGTATTTGCAAGAAACGCGTTTCGGGAATGAATTTTTGGGCGCCATTTAGTTAGTGGAAAAAAATATTGCTGCTCCGGTCAAAAGTTAGTGAAATTTAGGAGACAACGGAGGAAACTATCCTATATGAACCCCTGTAGGATGTTCAGAGGACGTCAATTCCAATTTTATTGATTTCCTGCAGGAATATGTTTCTCAATTCAATGAGAAAGAGAGAAATACTCCTGCAAAATTCCTAACACAAGATGCGATTTTAGCGAAATGAGAAAATATTCAGAATTTATGACTTATTTTATTTTTAATATAATTTTGGGCTGAGTTTTGAAGGAATTCAGATATAGAATCTCGGGAAATGACCTGAAAAAATGCTATGCTTTCCATGTTTCCATGCTTCTATGTTCTATGTTCCACTGGCAGAATGAAAAACCTTCCAAAACATTCCATTTACGGAACTCCATACGAAACGTACATATTTTCATCACTGAATATTCAAATCGATACATTTAGGTGGTTACTTGATTATTCCACTTCATCAATTTCAGATTCAATTTTCGTATTAAAATTCAATTGGTAAAGTTTTTTTCATCTGAAGTGAGCAGACTCGAAAAATATGGTCGATTATTCATGTTTTTTTATTGATTATAGATTTTACGGTCACACTTGATAAAAATACAAAAATATTCACAAATAACACAATATTCAAATCTTCGTAGCTTTTAGCAGAATTGGATTTTTCAGAAGAAGCATCAAAACTTGTTTATCCATATCCATAGGCAAACATGTTGATGGGCTCACAGCGATTCTGTATCTTCTCAAAATTTCGATAAGAGCTATTTGAACCATAAGATATCCGAAACGAAGACCTAAAAAGATATTATAAATAAGTTATTACTACTTGTTGAACCAACTCATTCCATTATTACTTCATTCATACGATACTGGTGGTCAACTATATTTTGTCTGCACAAATTATTATATTTCATTCTTTCGTGGAACCATTATTTATACGTTCATGTAAATTTCTGAAGATGTGGATTTTCAATGCAAATATGATATTGATTACCATTGAGTTTTGTAATATGGTACAATTACACGAAAACAAAGCTTTCGAATATATCTCAAAATATAGTTAGTTATCAAAGATCTGAATATTTTATATACAATGAATATACTGAACTAATTGTAGTTGGGAACTTAAAAAAAGTAGACAAGATTACATATTTTTTCAACAAAATATTGTAGGCAATTCAACATCAACGTCTAATTTTCAAATGAGTAGGAAAATATTTTTTCCACACATCACATTTTTGCAAAACTACATTTTTTTATCCAACGGTCACATGGTTTCTACATCGCACACAAAAATACATGAAAGAAAATTTTGAATACCCTCATTTTTATTCAAAAAGGTTGAAGGGATAACATTTGAAAAATTCATTGAATTAGGGTAATTGAATGTAATTCCCACTATACAAAACAATATTCCAGATTCTCGTGAAGATATGTAACCTCCTGCTGCGGTGGAGATGTGCATCCGCAGCCGATGTCCTGGAATCCAAACGGAATCACGATAGCGGGGGAGCCCACGATGCAAAATGGGGATTTATTCGAGCGTCATTGAGACATATTAGGTTGCAAAGCTTAGATGATAAGAAATGATTAACTCACCACACCTTGATCTGACGCTCTCGAGAATTTCTGATGATCAATTTTTTTTACTAATCTGATCCTTTATCCCTCACAGGCGGCCTTATATATGGGGCTCATATTTGGTGGAGGTACTTAACCGAGTACAAGGTATACCCCTGTATATTAATCTGCCGTGCTTTAGTAAATCCCGAAATCCCCGCTTGGGCTCCCTATCACGAGACAAATGTGCAGTCATCATCAAAGCACTATATTGGATTCTTGTTTTTTTCCAATGAGTCATACATATACAATGAAGAGAGAGTTAAATATAATATGCATTCCCGGGTAACACCAGCGTTGATGAAAAGTAATACTGAGACCGATAGAATTTTTGGCAAATCGTGTATTTTGTTAATGTGTGACTGAATGCTGGCAAACTTCTATCCAAACCCAATGTGATACGCTTTCACACTTCTTGAGTGAAGTGAGTTGTGATTCTGAAACGAGTGAGTTTTTCCTTCCTTGATTATAAGTACAGCTCTCAATCGAACTATCCATTCTATCATAGGAATTCGAATTGTTTTCTTCTGTATTCAGATGGAAAACATTTTTTTCCTGCAATCTCTTGATCGAGTTTCTTCACTTTCATTGCTGATGAATATGGATTTGTTCATTCATGTTGGGGGCAATCTGATAAACTGTCAGAGTATTGAGATAGAAGGTATGACCAGAGGCAACTAGTTGAACATGCCTTAAAGAACGACCACAAAATGAGTGGGGATTGCTAGGAATTGTTAAGACCTGTATATAGGTCTTCAGGGGCTCTAGAAAGTTCAGAAATGAAAAAATGTAAATTAGATCCACTTACATGAAATACTGTCATCCTCACTTATATACATTCGATTGATGTTTCGGCTTGACATTTGCCTTATCGGCTCTTCAGCACCAAATTTGGATAACCGTATGAGATGAAGCTATCAATTCATTCATAAAATTACGACTATATGTCACAAATGAGTGTAATTCACTCATGTCATCGATGACAGTATGTAATGGCGATCCTGTGAATGAGATCTGATTCCATAACGATTATGTGGAATAATACAAACGTGATTTACACGTTTTTTTACGTGTAAATCACAGTTTATATTAGAATAAAAGCTTTGAAAGGGCTCTTATTGAATTTTTGTTGGGAAGTTACTTCTTTGCATGGTTTTTACATTCTTGTATAGAGTAATTTTTTTGATATTGATTGCCTTCCTTCTTTCTTTGAAAAGTTCCCATTTTTTGTAGAAAGATGAAGTAGAAAGTCAAAACCATCCCTTTCCAAAAATCAGTCTCTTCAAAAAATATACTTCTTTCAATTCGAATTGAATTTTCGAACTGAATAAAATATATTGATCCAACATCGTACCTATACAGAATGGACAAAACACGTCGAATTTCTTCGTGAAAAACAATTTCTGACCCAGAAACAAAAACTCTTCAACCGTCTTGGGAAAGAAACGTTCGGGAAAATAGTTTCGAACTCATCTTCAAAACGTTGTAGTTCATTTTGAAATTTTTATGGTATCACTTCACAACGTAAATCAACAACTCACATACATACAATGAACTGTATAAGTTTGAAAATGTCCGTATAGGACGAAACTGCAGTAACGTTAGTTGCAAAAGAAAGTGGTAAAAAACATAGACAGTTCAATTTATCTTTTCTTCATTATTATTTCCTACCACGTAGTAACGGCTACATCCATCAATTCATTTATACCAAAAGTGCCATTACCTTGTCTTCCTTCAACCTCACTTGCTGCTCATCAACATCATTTTTGGGTATATTTACAAGTTCAAGTGTGGCTTGGTTATCAGCTAGACCCTATAGACTAGTGTTGGAAAATGGTTAACAATTCATTAGAACCAGTCCAAACTTTACTTCCACCTGCGCCGGAAAAACCGCTGAACACAATTTTTTACAACTGCAAAAGGGTGTGCAGTGCTAAATGTGGTTGCAAAAAAGCCGGACTGTTTTGTTCTCTAGCATGTACACATTGTCAAGGCCGGTCGTGCTCCAATATTGAATCACCAACAGTGGAGGATCCGTTTGATTCCAACGAGGCGACATGCGATACATCGCTATTAACGCAGTTTACATGTGCTCAGGATGAAGATGAAGAAGAACCAGAAGAAGAAGAACAAGACGAACAAGATCAAGAAGAAGAACAAGAAGAAAAATTCGAAAGTTACGATTGAATTTCAGTACTTTCTTTCAACTTGAATTGTTTTTACATTTTCAATCTCCGCAATTATCCATTACTCTGCAATAGTTTTAAATTGAACAGGATCACAACTGACACAAGTCTACTGGGGAAACCAAGTCATAAAAAACGCGCTAAGTATACTACCTCATACGTGACGTGGAAACATGTATATATTATGACGATTACAACTTTTACAACTTTTGGAATCGTTATATCTCAAAAACGGTGGCTGGTAAAAAAAATTTCGATACATTTTTTGTAGATAATTTTATGATCTACAATTTTTGTCTGAAGTATATTTATGATAAAACTCACCGTTTTGCTGAAAATCTCGAAAAACTAATTTTTTTGACATTTAACTAGGAATACATTTTTTTTTCATACAGGAGAAAGATACAAAACTTTCAAATTTCATTGTCGATCAAACTTTGAACAATCTCACTGATTTTCAGCTTGGTGGGAATTAAGGTAGCTTCGAATGTCTAAATTGACCGGAGTATAATAGATAACAATTTGTATTTTGAAGATTACTATAACAAACTTGAAGTTTTACAGACAAAAACATCCGAAAAAGTGTATGCCCTTGAGAGTATTGCTGAAAAGTATGGACACATAAATGAAAGTTTTGCACTAAATTTAAAAATTAATTTTTATTGTGATGATGTCATACTGATACTCTTCATTTATATATTTTTTCCTGATCTGTGTTCATTACATGTTTGTTGTATGTTCATAGTCTCAATGCAACTTCAAAAAAACTGAATTCGGTATAAACGACCAATAAAGAAATATGACGAACCTATACAACTTCTTGGACCAATACCAAATGGAAGGTAGGTATTTGCTTTTATGTTTCCTTTATTACTGTCGCTGAATCTTTCTGGGTCGAATTTTTTTGGATCTGGATAGTGTTCGGGATCTCTGTGTATTCCAAATACTGGGATAACTATAGATGTACCCTTTTCTATGATCAAATCAGTACCGTTAATCTTATAACTTTTCGTGCACTTCCTCTCCAAAGTAGGTAATGGCGGATATAGTCTGAGTGACTCTGAAAAAGATATTATCTAAGGTTACAATAGTTGGACAACGGTATGTAGTGGAATGAATTTAAAACATTGTATTTTGAAAACGAACACGAACTTACCATTAATTATCTGATGTAAGTATTTCATTTCTGCGAGACTGTCTGTATTGAGTTTGCCATTATGCTTGTTTGATATGCCTTCAATTTCAAGTCTTACTTTTTCTTGGATGTCAGGATTCTTTCCTAATTCGAATAAAGTGAAAGAAATTGTGGCTGAAGATGTGTCGAGTGACGCAAGAAAGAAATCAAAAATTTCGGCAATCTGAAAATTAAATTACATTTTTTTTTTATTTTTGGGAATTGTGCCAATAACAGATGAAGCTTCAGAAATTGTATATAGATAATCTGAATAGGAATTTCAGCAGTTATCAATTTTCTATGGGTAGTATATTTGTCTAGGTAGATAAAATGTCAGAAAATATATTCAGGGTGTTTCAAATCAAGACGCCTTCATTACCAACTTCGTTATCATTGATGTTACGTATTTGGTTAAATAGGCGAACTAGTAGCATTTTCAATGGCCTTCTCGATGTCGAAAACAAAAAACCTGACAGTCGCGTTCTCAAAATATTTCATAAAATGATATTTTTTAAATGAAACGCCCTATATTCTATTATACATCTTGATTCGTAAAAATATTCTCAACAACAAAGCTCATATCACATTTTCTCCTTGAGTTGAAAATGAGTGACGTATGTGGAAATATTTATTTATTTTACTAGTACAAAAAATGTCTTTGTTTGGCAAATGAAACATCATGATTGTCCAAACATCCAATTTTGATACTTATACGAATGACAATATTTTGTTACCAAAGCAAAAAAAATTGCGCTGAGATTTGAATTCGTGAAACCCGTGATAGTCATGTCGTACCACTCATTTGACACCACTGAGCTATTTGGTATCGATTCACAAAACCATAATTTTTGTGAATCAAAATATGTTTGCTATAATAATAACATTTAAGTCATTTTTGTACAGAACAGAAAATACTGGAGCGTCAATTGATGCGTTTGGAAAAAAATGTGTTTGATTCGATAAAACAGAATTATTACGAGTAATAAGTTGCCGTGAAACTTTGTTGAAATACTATTCGTTAAATATCCTCAAGTATATCATGACAATGTCATAAATTATTGTCATAAATTATTGTAACTCTCAACTACTGTTCGAATATTTTTCGAAATGCCGTTTTCCCATCGAGAAAAATGTGATATATTAGAATCTCACTGAGTTTGCCAGAAGAATGGCGTAAGAGCACTCCAACACTACAGCAATTCATTCTCCGATCGTGAATTACCTAATCGACGTTACATTAATTTATTAACAAAAGTATGGAGCACCAGCACATAATTTCGGTGGCGTAAAAAGACTGTTTTGGAAACTGATGAATTGCTACAAATGGTCCTGTTAAGTTGCCTTCTCGTTCACCAGGCATAACACCTCTAGATTTTCATTTTTGAGGATTTCTGTAAAATGGGGTGATTGATAACCGAATTGTTTTGGAAACAATATGTAGTGCCAAGAGAAGGGCCCAAGTATGTGTTCATTAAGGGGAACTGCTTTTTTAAATATTTATATAGCTTTTATTCGCCAAAACAGAGACATTTTTTGTATCAGTGAAAGAAATGAATATTTCCAGTTGAGTCGTTCATTTCCAACTTGAGGAGGAAAGGTGATATGCGCTTTGTTGTTGAAAATGTTATTACGAATCGAAATGCATGGTAAAAAATAGGATATTCCATTCAAACAAATTTCATTTTATGAAATATTTTGAAAACGCGGATGTCAATTTTTTTTTTGTTTTCGGCATAGAGAAGGTCATTAAAAATGTTACTAGTTTGCCTCTTTAACCGAATTCGTAGCATCAATAATAACGGAGTTGGAAATGGTGCCGACTTAATTTGGAACACTCTGTATAATTGGAATATCTAAATTTTTCAGGTAACATTCCGATTGTGGTTAAAGCAGCCTGAAGCCCTTAGCTGGATTCTATTTCAATGTGAACTTCGTAAATTTGGATCAATTCAAGTAGAGAGTTCATTAACTGAATTGTGTCGATCCCTTCACTTGGCCACGATGGANGGAATATAAACCTAAATTTTCGACTTTTTCACGATGAGAATTGAATGAGGTCGAAATTAAGAAAGAACAAATTCAATAGGGATAATTCATCAATTTCAATTTTCCAATTCTTTCTCTATGACTCATATAATAGTACCTAAACCAGAATTAAGAAAAGAATGTGATAACGAGTAAAATTGTAAAATTATTCTTTGATTCGGGAAATGCATCGAAAGGAGAAACTATTTGATAATAAACAACTTACCAATTGATTATCGGTTAAGGGATTGGGAGAACTTTTGGTTTCATTTTTGATATTCATCAATAACTCTAAAAGATCTGGTCGAAATAATTTCATTTCTTCTCGGTATTTCATGGCATCCCTCACAACTGTTATAAAGAATTCTGAAACTTCCTTCTTCAGCAGTTTAAGTCCTGGAAATGATGAAAGAAAATAAATTACACAAGTTTTCACTTCAGTAAGGAGGTGACTCGGTACAGTATACAATTTCATCAGTTCTGAGGATCAGTTAAACACGAAAGCATCCTCTTCAAAATACCAAATAGAAGACTCTTCATGAACATGAATACGTTATGAATCACAGTGAAACATAAGAGGGGCATTCAGTGATATCTAATTTTTAAAATTTTTTGATATATTGTCATCCAGAATGCAATGGAAAAAATTCAAATCGATAAATTTACCGTTGTCAGGAATCTGAAACTGCACGTTTGTCAAAAGTTATAGTGACGTCACAATATATGTATATTCGTCGGTATAGCATCTGAACCACGTCTTCACTGTTATGAAGCGAAGAATCCAATATTTGAATTTGAATGTGTTTTTATCAAATACTACAAAAGTTTTTCCGAACATCGATAGATATGAATGCATTATTTTTTACTATTCTAAAACAAATGTGATGTTTTCAAATCAAAATGATTCTCGCAAGAAAAACAAATTCATTCAACAAATCTGGTATTTTCTCCGCGTAACTATTTATGAGACTTAAATGTTTTTCATTTCTCCTAATAGTAACAAAAAATTTCTTTAGTGCATTTCAGATTGAATGAACGCCCCACGTACTGAAAAATACTTTTTTGAGCTGCTCACACAGATATTGGACGGCTTCGCATATCTAATGACGTCACGTCTCATTTCCCTAAATCATTTCATGAGGCTGTTTTCTGAGACATCAAATATACTGAGATGATTTTTTTCGCCAATATTCTCCAAATTACGTACTGATTTCATTTTTGGAATGAAGAATTTGAAAAGTTCCTATTTAAGCATATTCAATGAAAAACTTGAAATTCACCATAATACATGATATACATATATACATATAAATGAATATAAATGAAAATGAATAATGTCATAATACACTCACCCAATATACTACTAAAGTCTGGAAATCTGTTCATTAACGAATACTTCAGAAGATCTATCGGTGTGTGAACATCAAAATGCTTTTGGGCCATTTCAGATAAAATATAGGAACTCTCAGATTTTCCTGGTTCTATTCCCAAAGCACATATTGCTAGGGTATTTATGGTGAAGTTTGTCGCAATCTATAAATAATATCATTTAAAGAAATTATCAAATGAGGAAAGGTGTTTCAAAAAGAGACTCACAGAATTGATTCAACTCTATAACGAATATTTGGAGTTCAAACTGTACAGGAAAAAATGTTTTTATATAATTGAAAGCTCACACGAAAGTAGTTGTTTGGAATTTTTTTTTTCTTGTAATTCCATATTTTTTTGAATGATGCAACTAATTTTCCTTCATTTTCAGTATTTTAATATTAATGTAAGTCACAAAAAAGATTTGAAGCTTTATAACTTCTATTTAATTATATGCGAGCGCTTTCGATAGCTGGACGTACTATCATCATCTAGGCTTTACTCAAACTGAACGTGTCATCCTGTTTTATGTCCTTTTATACGGTCTGAACGCCTCAATACAGGTTCTTTAGGTAAATTTGCCTGTATTTGGGTTACATCAGGTACTATTCTTTGTGTTGGATCTTCTCTAGGTTTACTGTTTGTAGGAGTGTGTATTGATTTGTTTAATATATTGAGTGTTAGGTCTTGTTATGTCTTGATTTGTACTTGTTCCTTGATAAGTGATTTATGTCTGTTAAATTTATGAATGTTTAAGTTTTCCCAAATGTCCATACGGTTTCCTTTATTGACTTGTTTCATGACTTTTATGTTCCCTTACTACAAAAAATAAACAGCTATGAAAAAAAAAAGAAGACAAAAACCAACATCATTTCCCCCACCAGAGAACATAAAACTCATAAAATAACACACAACAAGACCTAACATTCAATATTTTGAAGAAATCAATACACACTCCTAGAAACAGTAAACCTAGAGAAGATCCAACACAAATAATAGTACCTGATGTAATCCAAATACAGGCAAATTTACCTAAAGAACCCTGGAGTACCTGTATTGCGGCGTTCGGACGGTATAAAAGGACATACAACAGGATGACACGTTCAGTTTGAGTAGAGCCTAGATGATGATAGTACGACCAGCTATTGAAAGCGCTCGCATATAATTGAATAGAAGTTATAAAGCTTCAAATCCTTTCTGTGACTTACATTAATATTAAAATTCTATATTGTCTATATTGGAGTTCACGTACTGTCATCGATGACACGAGTTTATTCAACTGATTCGTGACATAAAGTCGTTATTTTACGAATGAACTGAATTCCTAATTTCGTAACATCATTCAGGATTTATTCCGAACCATAGATATCCGTCATTAATGATGATATTATTCCATGTAAGTGAAATTTTTCTCCTTTCATATACTATATTGCGTAGTAATCCTGTGAATGATATCTGATTCAATTCCATAACGTGAATTTGGAGTACAAACTGACTAGGAAAATAGTATTCTTTCTGTAATTTAATGTTGTAATGGAAGTTGTGGTTTCGAGATTATTTTTCTTCCATGTAATTCAATATTTATATGAGAATAGCTATTTCAAAAGAACTTCATCTTAAAATTTGTGTCTGAAAGGTATTTTTTTGCATTATCTATACATCTTTGTGAAGAATTCATTTTGAAATCAATTACTGTATTCTTTCCTTTGAGAAACTCCCAAATTTTTTTATATAGAAATGGTTCTTCTTCTCCATCAAAACCTTGTCTCTCCTAAAAATATAAACACGTTCTAGTCGATCCTTCCATATTATCAACTGTATTTCATAATTCTTGTCACAAATATAGTACTTTCATACCCACAAAATTTCATTCATTCATATTCCACAATACATTTCATTGTATTGATAACTTGAAACTTCTTCAAGTTAATGATAACTTGAGCAAAGGATTTTTGGCCACACCTCATTCATTAATCGAATTACATTATCATACAATAAAAAAGGATTCGAATGTAATTGCCAAATACATCTGTAAATAACAGAGAAATTCTAATCCCTCATCAAAAAATGGAGAACTTCGGAATTCCAGAAACTTTGTCGATGGCAGGAAACAGAGACTGAACCGTATTTAATGACAGTACGGATCAGATTTCACTAGATTTCTTTGAAACTATTGTCGTTGACGAATTTGATGGACCATGCATACTTGTGATGCACTGTTTGGAACCTTTGGTGTAGTAATTAATATTACTGGAATTTTTTTCCAACACCAAACCGTTATTCCAATACCTCGACACGTGTTTCAATCACCAACTAATCATTTTCAAGAGGAAGATCAAACTGCATACAAAAATTGATGACGATACCGAACACCCTTATACCGAGGAAAATCCGATTGTTAACATACCCATTACAGAATCTCCAGTAAATTCGTTCATTCACCGTTGAAAAATAATAACGATATTATTTCAGAAGAAACAGATAGAAAGATAGATAGATAGTTTATTTAACCACGTTATGTAAAAAAAGAACATTTGTAGCAAGTCAAAACAATAACGTTTGAGCCATACAAACATATGAACAACCAACAAACATTTCAAATAGGTTGCAAATAGAATTGAAGAAAAACACAACTATTATTAGTAGTGACGTAAATGAATATCAAAGATACAAACATGATGAAAATGATATAGTAATTGAAATTGAAAAAAAATGGTGATTGAAGGCCACAATTAAAATTATTCAGATTCAAACATGTGAGTATATGTGTGGCCAGGTACTCGTTGACACTATGAAAACAATGTGTTTTTCGTAAACCTCTTGAAACTAAATAAAGGTAGATCTTTGACAGTGGGTGGCAATATATTATGAATATCAACATTGAGTGTATTAACCGAGGATTTGTGTAGTTTCAGCCTGCGTGGTCTTAAGCGATTGGAACCTCTGGTGAAATATCTCCACGGAGTAGATACGAAAAACATCCAATGAAAACTTAAATGAATATATCCTATCAAATATTCGTGAAAGTAGTCAGGTTTGAGCGATAAAGACGGCAGACGGTGACGTCATCACACCAAATTGTACCATTCTCACCATACGTAGCATTCTCAAACTGTCACGCAACTTGCCATTCAATCAGAACACACGATTTTGCATCTCAGAACATTGTGGCGGGAGATTTGAATCTTCTGTGGAATAAATAATTCAGGCAGACATACGACGAGGGATATCCCTCAGGAAGACAGATCACGCAGACATGTGGCGCACTTAGGTCAGCCCAGCTTTTCGCTCAACACATTTTTGTTTTGTGACGTCATAAAAAAGTTTTCGTTGGAGAATTGAACGCAGATCGTTGGTGCGACAGACAAATTGACGTTCACATTCGAAAAACTTAATTTCGAACCGTAACAGATAGTTTTTCAAAATACAAGCAAGCATGTCATTTGTCCTTCTTATTGGCTATCGACATAACTGACAAACTTCTTCTCTTTTCCACATCATGGCGTACATATCCAAATCATAGTTATCAACGGACCTGAATTAAAAAAAAATTCATTGAAGAACTTCTCTACCCCTACAAAAAAAATGCATAGTTTTGTTCACCAAATCATTCTCATTTAAACGGGCAAATTGAAAAATTTTACTCTACTCTGACACATCTGACTTCTAAATACTGGAGAATTCCTTTAAACATTCTATAAATGGAAATGGTTTGTGCTTCACTTGTATTTTTTTTAATTGATGACTCGTTTATTCTGTGGAAATTCTTGACCACTTCAATGAAATGAATGAAAACACTTCTGTCTAATTTTCACTGGTTATTTCAATATCACGACCAGTTTCGGGTTCAATCCCATTATCGTATATGAAAATTAACTAAAGTAATAGTATGATATTCCATATCAAACATCATTGAAATGACTATAATATCTACATTATTCAGGAATCATTATCATGAACATCTCATTACGAACATAATTATTTTTTTTATTTTAGTCTACATGCAGAGTAAATACGATAACCATCATATAACTAATATTTTGCAAATGCATTATTTATCAGGACACCTCAGTGAGGTAAGTCATTATTGTGGGTGAAATTTATATTTCTGATTAGAAATAATGAACCAGCAGCAAGAATCGAGTCATTCCCTCAAAGTTTTCAATAATCAGAACAACAATTCAACTAGAGAGGTTTGGAAAATTTGGCAAATATTGAAGAAAAAGTTAAATATTCATTCATCTTCAGTCTCACTTTTATGGGCAATAAATAGCTCAAACGAATTCGAATCTCCACAAAAATCCACGTATCCTCATTTTCCATTCCATTTGAACATATTTGTTTAGAAAGCATCGGATAATTTGATTTATCAAATATTGTTACTATTGATCACGCTACTATTCTTCAAAAATTTCATTTTTCTTTCGAAAATTTTCTCATCTGGAAAAAGTCTAACAAGCTGTTTATCTCAAAAATGATAGAGATTTGAAACACAAGAAAGTCATAATGTCAGATCTGTATTTGATTATAGTATATCACCTCTTGAAATCTCAGCCTAATATTCTGAGGCCCGCTTATTGAAATATATTATTCACAAAGATTAAGTTACGTTCGATATGACTCATATTATCCTGAAAAATTGAGAATGATATCACAGCTTTATTCACTTTATTCATCGTATTCAATTCATCATTTGATTACTAAATCAATGGAAAGCCTGAAAATAACTGTTCATATTCTACTTCATTTTCATTTACTTCTCCATGACCATATTTTTTATGTTCTATATTATATTCTAGATGACAACTCACCTTCTTGATGTCAATATCGGAATTCTCCTTCGCCAAATCATCAATTTCTTCAATCATTGATGCACTTACACATATGATCAATGGAAACATCATTTTTAGTTTTCCACTAGTGAAGGTAGGCGTCAATCTTATCCTAGTCTTTCTCCACTCCACAGCGTCCATGCTGAACAAAGTTACTGACAATGGATCCGAAGCGGTTTTATAAAATCCACGATCCACAAAATGGTCAAAATCCTGTTGAAAGTAGCTAAATTTGTATTTTCTTTCCGCGACATTGTCTGATTGAACTTGATAATCAGAAATATAACATACTTAATTTCTGCTTTGTAAGTATAGTAAAATGGAATTTGTGTTCAATACTAATCACCAATATTAATTTATATTCAATACTAGTCACTCAAAAGCAAAACTGCAATTTTATTTTATGATATAGCAAAAATGATTTGATAGGTGAAATATTTTGTCCAATTATATCTACACTGATACATATTTCTTTCCTTTCTGAATCGAAATCTCAAGATCAGGCTGACTAAGTCACGAGCAGAGAAATTATTCTGCTGAAAAACTTTCGAATTGTAACATCAGTGTAATCGGCTATAATAGTAATCCAATAAAATCCAAAAAGTAAACCCAGTCCTCTCTACTCGATTTGTCACACAAAGAACGAGAATAATGAAATGAATACTGAAAAAATGTAAATAATTATTCACTAACAAACAAAATTTTATCACGAATGGAACAACATAACTGAAGTTGCTGAGAGAAATTTTGTAAAAGACGGGGAAGAACTGAGATAGATTTGGAAAATAATAAATCATACAATTGCTTTTATAGAAGTATATCCATCTATTATATAGAAAAGAGTGGTTTTTCCGTGATTCGTCCTGTTAAAAAAGTAAGATCAAGAAACATGTGTAGCATGTAAATTTTCGCTACTTTAATTTGTTAATAAATGAAAAAGTTTTAGAGCAACATAGATTTCACTCCGTGGTGACCTACCCTCAGCGAACGTGAAAATAACAAACATAGATATGTAAAGTTGGTTGTCTAACCTCATCCATAGAAACCTATAAAAATCCCGTTGCTAGTCTCGATTTTTTTGGTTATTATAAGGTTCACAAGGAGTGTCTTCGAATTGAAATTTTCTCTTGGTATTTTCTGTTTGATTTCAATTGTCAGCTGTTTGATGATATTTTGACTGTCTACTGTTTCATTATTTTTCAGTGTAGCCAATTTAGTTTTAGGGGGTGTCTGACCAGATTCAATCAAACATACCATTACTTTATTCTGTTCAGATTGTTTCTTTATGCATGGAACATGCAAATATTGATAGGTCAAAACGCTAGTACTCTATCTTCCGAAAAGAAAAAGAAGAAGAGAAGGAATTCTTTTCTGATCAGTTGGGATGGTAGATTTCGCGAAAGCTACAGGTGTCTGCCCTACAGGTGTTTCTGGTTTTGTTCGGCTGACGAATCCTGAATTTGTTAAATGATACTTAGTGGATATTCCGTTCTACCCATCTTATTATCAACCACTATGTCCTGGCTTTTGATAGAGGCATATATTGAACATTCACGATAATTTGGTGTTTGAATACTTTGTACCACGCCAACGCCTTTTCACTACAAGATAAAACCCTTCACGGAAGGTGAGTTTTCCTACTTTTCTTTTCATTGTTCTCTAGCTAGCGACAATATAGGACAGAATATAGGACAGTTTCTGAAAAAAAAACATTTATAGGGTTGTTGTACCTGGAGGATTTTTACCCAGGGAATTGTCACGGTTTCTATTCTGGTTGGTTATCTCCCAAGCTTTGGTTTATCTCATCTACATTTCAAGGATATTTTTGGTATCATGGTTCCAATAGGGCTCACTTGCCCGAAGTGTACACTCCATGGTTCAGCTTGATGAACTGTTGATTGCACTTAGAGAGAATAAAGATATCGTAGTATCGCCCCACTCGTCACCCCTGTCCTGGTTGGCCTGGGATTCCGTACTCAGTTTTCAAAGTGTTGTCGCTAGAGGAACAGGTTTCACTTTTATTATAACAGTGGTCTGTTAGGTTGAAATGTTCATCTATTTCGAACCTTCCAAAGTTGCAGTGGCGCCCCTCCTATTTTTTGATCAGTTAATTACTGTACAATGATATACTTTTGTTTGTAAACGAACCCATAGTGCCAACCGACGACGAGCTGCCGTCTGCATTGCTCCTTCTCATTAAATAGAAAAAGTGTTGCACATGAAGAGTCAAGAGCTCATCAAGAGCTGTTGCGCTTGATATTTCTACGGTCTTTGACCGTGTGTGGCATAAAGGTTTGCTGGACTAACTTCGATGCTATGACTTGTCGGACCATTTTTGTGTCTGGCTTTCCAGCTTCCTGATAGAACCTTGCATGCAAGCGGTCTTTTTTTTATTGTATATCAACGACTTATTGAAAAAAAAAAATTCGATATATTGCTTTGCTGATGACAGCACACTTGTCTTGTCATTCCATTTGAATTTTAGGACATTGGCTGCGAATGCAGATCTTCACCGGCAGCAAGTGGTTGCATATCTTATTGAGGATCTAGAGGTGATTTCGAATTGGGGTGAAAGTAACCAAGTTCAAGTCAATGCTATGAAAACTCAGGCATCGGTTTTTTCCAAAAAAAATTAATGTCTCCGAACCGGATATAATGATGTCAGAATAGACAATTCCGCTTTTTGCATGGATGAGTTTGTTGGGGGTTACAATGAACACCAATATGACACAATAATGTCGATGAAATAGCAAAGGCTGCTTCTCGAAAGTTTGAAAAACTGTTCCGGACCGGAAAACTGTACACAGTTCAGCAACTTTTGATGATTCATGACGCTCAGATCAGGCCTTCGTTGGAGTAGTGTTCTCATATATAGTGCTTCGTTTCTAAGCATACCCTGAAACTGCTGCCAGAGAAGGAAACTTGATAGTCTGGAGCATCTAAGAGAGGTTGAAGATTCGTCTTTCTTTCATATGTACTTTCACGGAAGATGTTCAAGTGACTCGCAACATTTGAATTCTCCAAGAGAGAAATATATGACGGATTTATGGTTGTTCATTGTTTTGAAGTTCGACTCAGTACGCCTCGAACTTTTGTGTCAGTAGATAGTGTGAGTTTGTTTTTTCATTTTGTTCATCATGGTCATCCATCTCATTTCAAATATAACAGGATCTCTGTTGAAATCTGATTTTCCGTTAACCAGTTTTCGTCCTCCTAAGAACGACAACTCCTAGAAATCTAAAATTGTGTGAGATGGAAATTAACGCAATCAACGTGCGATCCTTTGCACGTTGTAGAATATATTTAGGTTTTGATATTATTGTCCTGAATGAAGCTAATGAGCTTTAGCGAAAGTTTGGGTATCTTGAAAGAATAATAATTCATTGATAGGACGGATTTCGGAGAAACCACTCTCCCCCATAAAAATAAACGGTATTTTCATTATCGCTTCATCTTCTTTATAGATATATAGTTCTGAACTCCAGTCATCACCAGAAGATGGCAAATGAGTAAAGACACAAAACACGGATAGAAACCCGGAAAAACAGCTCATCAGCTCAGAAATAAAATTTGAATCAATACTTAATACTGCTCAAATATTCTGTCAAAAAAACATTTTAAAGTTACCTTCACCAATATATCCTTCACTATTTCTGTGTCTGCTATTACCAATATAGGTCGTATGGTGGCAAAAACTCCAGCAAATTTGTAGCCCTTTTTCTTAATTTCTCTGTAGTGATCCGTGAATTCCAAATTGGGGCCAGGGAATTTACAAAATAGTGATTGGCTGTTACCCAATGGAAACCGGGGGACCAAATATGGAAAATTCCTTTTTCTTCCATTTCTGAGATTTTCTCGTGCCCCATAGGGCTAAAAATAATTTTTTATATATACTACAGGTAGCCATAATTGAGACTACCTCCAAAAATTACCTAAACCTCTACCCCTAGGTACCTGTTCAATTATGATCACCTGAAGCATATTACCTCCCATGTACATCAATAATAATTCTTTCTCGGTTTTTAAGAAAACAAGTTGAATGTTGAATTTGTTTTCTTATTCACATAGCTCGTATGATGATCCTGGATTCGATTCCAAAATGTTCTGCCAGTTTGACCAATATATCAGGACACGTTTCACACTTTTATTATATACTCATTTTGTGCTTCATAAATACAAAAATAAAACATTTTCAAGAGGTATCAACTGACCACCACAAAATCAGCATAGGCTTGTAGTCTTCATCCGTGTATAATTTTCATGCGATATTTAAATGTGTCGATTAGAAACATCTAAATTTCATGGAATCTGATGCGTCCTTGTTCTTTTCTGTTTGAAAACAAATTTTGAACAGATTTTAAACAGAAAATAACAAGGACGCATCAGATTCCGTGAAACATTACAATTACTGTATTCCAAAATACATAAACAGTGTTTAGGAAAATTAACAAATTTTCTGATGTATACAGAAAATTTGTGAGATATGTCTTCATGGCGGATTTTTTGTATACTTCCTGGTAACTAAATTCAGTAAATTTTTTGGCCCAGGTGGTGGTGGACGGTATTAGATGAGTTACCTTATGGGTCAACTGTTTTCCATACAAACGAGAACCCACAGGAGACATCATATTGTATGTCTAATTACTGGTGAGATATATAATCCATCAACTGATGTATTGAGTTCCAGTTTGGTAGTTTGAATTTCAGGAAATATCGTCATATTTTCCAATTTAAGTAAGCACCATTGCCAACTCCGTCATTATTGATGCTACGGATTCGATTGAATGGGCAAATTAGTAGCATTTTCAAAGGCCTTCTCGATGCCAAAAACAAAAAAAAATTGATAGTCGCGTTTTCAAAATATTTCATGAAATGATTTTTTTCAATAGAACATATCACCTTTCTTCCTGAATTTGAAAATGAGCGACTCATGTGGAAATATTTATTCATTTCACTAGAACAAAAATTTGTCCAAACACCCAATTCTAGTACTTATACAAATGACAATATTTTGTAACTAACAGCTAGTGAAACCCGTGATCATCTTGTTGCACCAGTCACTCGACACCACTGAACTATTTGGTATCGATTTACATTTTGTTAATCAAAATATGACTGCTATAATGATAACATTGAACCAGTTTTTGTAAAGAACAGAAAATACTAGAGCGAGTTACGTGGAAACAGCTATCAAGAAACGTGCCTTATCTACAGGAGCCCGAGACTTTGCAAACTCATTATATTTCAAATCTTGTAATAATTGTCTCAATAAAAATTCATTCTTTGTACTGCTCTCGAAGAGAATAAACGCTTTTTGAGTCTTATGTGAAATCGATTTTCTTTTTAAAAACTAAGTTCTCGATTTCCAATACATAAT